TGGACACAATGGCTATCATTCTGAAGCAGAAGCTGATCAGGTGGCAAGTTTTACTCCTCTTTCATTCGTTTACTGTGTAGCAAGGAACTAGATACTAGTATCTGTACAGTATGTAGAAATCTTACACACCTCCTTAAAGAGAACCCACGGAAGGCATTTGGTATGTTAACTGATTATCTGCTGGGTTCATTATTATTTATGTTATGTAATGTAGTCTAGATTGTAATGCTGCACTTAAGCCCTAACCTGACTGAACACATTTGTTCCTCTAAGGATTGGTTAAGTTTCTATATATCATTTTTGTTTTTAAATTGATGCTAAACATAAAATTATTTAAGTTTCCAAGATAATAAAAACCAACAAAAATCAATTTAGATATGTCTAGAAACTATTTGATGATGAGATTTTTTTTTTAAGGCAAGCAAATTCTACTAATTATTTGCTTGTAATACAGAGGAGAATATTTTATTGTAAAATAGCCTGTTATATTTACTCTCAATTCAAGAGGTAAAAAATTGAAACCTTAGCATCTCATCATACTGGTCTGAGAGACACTTTCTCAAATGTCTCTGAAAAGACTTTTATTCCAGAGTCCTTAGTGTGGTGTAGGTGTTAGCTGGCAACTAAGGACCCAAACAATCAGGCTTGTATCATTCAGGAATGAAGCCACTTCTCTAAAGGAAAACTGATGGAACGACCCCTTACTTTAAAATCAGTATTTGTTCTTCCATATTTTGTTATTACCTTGTTCTTAATCAGACCTTTTGGATCCAAAATTCCCATAATGGTACTCTTCCACAACCTGTGACATTCTCAGTAGGATATTGATTCAAATAGCTTATGGTGGAGTGGTTCTGATATCTTGCAATCAAAAATAAGAATTGAAATGATAAGTAAGTAAAGCTTTTGCCTTGTGTTTCTCAGATAAAAATATTTAAATGTTAAATATTCAACATTAAGAATAGAAAATAAGTTAACAAAAGCTTTAAAATGTTCCTGAGCAGATAGAATACCCCAAATACAACCTGCATTTATCAGAAGACTGCATTATTAATTCCAAAATTGGGCTGATACTATCGCTCATATTTTTGTATGCTCCGTATGCAATTAGCATGTGAAACTACTTTTGCATAAATGCTTAGCTACTAATATGTTACTAATATGCATGTCTATGTAATACTTACAATATTAAGCTTACTGTTTTTTAATATGGCACTGTTTATAGTAGAGTGGTGCTTTGGAAAAGATACTTTCCTCTTCCAGTAATCCCATAGTAAAAGCACTTTGCATCGAAACGTATCAATGTAGTGCAGATGAAAAGTGAGATTTACTCATGGTTTTGGCTTTCTGCCAGGCACTGCGGGATGGGAACAAACTAGCACAGATGGAAGAGGCTCCACTTTTTCCTGGAGAATCAATCAAAGTTATCGGTAAGCATACTATTGAGTTCTACACTGAATGCTATTAAATCATTAATTTATTTATTCGTAAATAGGATATTATTTATTCATAATAGCACATTATTTATTGTTGAGTTTTGTTACTTCAGGTCTTTATGGCTACTTTGGTTTAGCAGGTTTGATATGGATTTCTTTTCTTTGTCTTTTAATCCAAATGTAAGCCTGAAAGGTATATCAATTGACTTATTCCATATAGCCAGATTAATTATTTTCATGAGTTAGTTTGTTCCATGTAGATAAATTAATCATGTGGTTTGTAGTCATGTGAGGGGGTTCACTCAGAGCTCTCCACAGATTAAAACTTCAAAATTGTGATCACAAAGAGGATGAAATTATGTAAAACTTGGTATCCAGTCCACAGTGGGCTCTTTTTCACTTTGGTCTGTGCTGGCAAGCTGTGTATTAGCAGCACAGTGTTTGGCAGAGAAGAATAGTGACTTTTCCAGAGAGATTGAAGTTGAAGATATGGGCATATCACTGAGTTACCCTGCAGTCTGTTGCAAGCTCCTGTGTGGAGCGCAGGCTGCTTTTGCCCCAGTGAAGGGACTAGAGCTGCCTGCAGGTGCTCTGAGCCCTGTCCTAACTGCTCAGTAGCTTCCAAGCAGCTATAGGGTTGATGAATTTCTTTATTTTCAGCTTTATCAATGCTAACAGCTCTTGAAGAATATACTTTTGTGTGCAGTCCAGTATCAAAGTCCTTTGGTAATACAAACAATTTTGGGGCCTGCAAAAATTCGTCTTATTTTGAATAGATTTTGATGGAACAAATATCTGTATTAGTAAAACCAAGCTTTCATTGTCTGTTTTCCAGCTAAAGATGTTATGTATATCTGTCCATTTATGGGAGCAGTCAGTGGCACACTGACAGTGACGGACTTCAGAATGTACATCAAAAGTGTTGAAAGGGTAAGACTTCACTGTCTGTCTGCGTGTTCCTTCTGGGTGAAAATTTAGCTGAAGTGGGTTTTAGAAATGACTCAAATTTGGTATAAATGAAGTATGACATTCCATAGAAGTCTATTACACAGAAATTATAAACGAGGCAAGTGGAACAGAAATAGTAGTAGACTGTGCTTTTCCTAATGCAACTACATTAATTTATTTCATGTTTAATTTTCAGGATCCACCCTTTGTTGTTGATGTCCCCCTTGGAGTGATAAGTAGAGTCGAAAAAATTGGAGTACAGAGCCATGGGGACAACTCATGTGGCATAGAAATAGTTTGCAAGGTATGGAGGGTATGGTACAAGTCCATTAATTTTGATTTCATTTTCATTTGCTTCAAGTATTTTGCTTTCATGTTTATTTTAGAGGGCTTCGTGCATGTATGCTGTTTTTCTGTCTGCTCTTGGCCCTGTTTTGAATCTTACTACGTTTAGGTAATTCATTTCAATTCCTCTTGTGATACTATGCAGTATTAAGCACTTCTGCTTTTTGTGACAAGAAGGAATTCAAAGGAAGAATGGCTATTTTTATGTATCTAGGAACTCTAGTGACAATCCTAGTCAACTGAAACAAACACTTTCTTCTAATGTGGGTTACATGATATCAGTTATTTAGTGTTGTATATATGCTTTCTTTCAGCCAGATTCTGCTTTTTTTTATCAAAGGGTAAAATAATGTGACTTATTTTTGATAGGATATGAGAAACTTGAGGCTTGCTTATAAACAGGAAGAGCAGAACAGATTGGAGATTTTTGAAAACCTTGTAACACGTGCATTTCCTGTTTCTAATGGCCTGGTAAGTCTTAAGTAAGGCTGTCTGCATCTGTCATGTCTTTGGAAAGTGGTAGGCGGAGAAAGAAAAGCACTATGTAGCAATTAAAATGTTAATTCATAAAATACAGTATGAAACAGGCTACTCTCTTTCCTTTTTGCATTAATATATAAGACATTATACTGCATCCTGCTGTCCCTAAAATTATCTAATTTGTACATAACCCTTGAGGTTTAGATTCACCTAATATTGCTGTCTTAAAATGTATAGAGACAGACTTGTTTTCTGCAGTAGATAATTCAATCCTGAAGCTCACTGCCTAAAGAATAAATAGGTACAGTTAGTCATATTAGTTAACTGTAAAGTGTTCTTTTGTTATGTTTGTCCGTATAAGGAGCTGGCTGGGAGGCAGGAGACTTTTGACAGGCTTCTTATCCTGGCTCTGACATTGATTTGTTCTATGATCACAGGCAAATAACTGCCTCTCAGTGCCTCTATTCCCATTTCTTGGTTTTGTTAAATAGATAGCATGCACTTGAAGGAGTCAGCTGTCCTTTATTTCTATTCTAGCACTGAGTTGCCCAGCCTTGATAGTGAGAGCTTAGGTATAATGTTAAACAGTTATTAAAATATTTAATTGGAAATCTTATACGGTTGTCTATTTTGAAGCTTATCTTACTTGCAACCCACTAAGGAATAATTTATACCTCTACTTTCTTGTTTTTAGCCACTTTTTGCATTCAACTATAAAGAGAAATTTGCTGTTAATGGCTGGAAAGTGTATGATCCAATGGCAGAATATAAGAGGCAGGTAAGTTACACTTGGTGTATTATTTTTCTTTCTCTGTGTCCCTTCCATACAAAGTCATTTAAACAAGAAAAAGTTTTTAAAGAAAACTCAAAAATTTCAGTGCCGGCTATAGGTAGCAACTTGCCCAGAATTCATGTCTAGGTGATGAAATACAAGTGGCCTGAGCATTCAGAAGCCCTGCTAAAACTGACTGAGATAACAGTTACTCAGTACTGGAGCAGATGTGTCTATCTTAAAGTACATTCTCAAATCTGCATTTCCCGAGTGCTGTTTTTGAAACTATAAATATTTTATTGAAATTGTTTTTGACTAAGCATCATTAAACAGTAAGTAAACTTATTTTGTGATTGTAAATCTGTAGTCTTCGGTCTGCAAAGGTAATGTTTTTATTTCACTGTGATCACTTTTGATCCTAAGTATGTGGCCTATTGAAATAGTTATTTTGCATAATAATTTTAAAGGTAATAAGTATAAATCTCTTTTGGCGTTTTGGTTTATAATACGTTATGAAAACCTGAAACAAGTAACTTACTTAAATGAAAAACGTGGACTCACTTTAAAAAACAAACAAAAAACTATGCAGCATTTCAGTGTTTTAATTGTCAAAACCAGATATGTAGAGGTCTAACCTGAAAAGTATAAAAATGCTTTCTTTTCTTACAGGGCTTGCCCAATGAGAGTTGGAAAATATCCAAAATTAACAGCACCTATGAACTTTGTGATACATATCCAGCTATTCTTGTTGTGCCAACCAGTGTAAAGGATGATGATCTCTCAAAAGTGGCAGCATTTAGAGCAAAAGGAAGAGTTCCAGTAAGTGAAACTTTTGCAAGGAGGTATAATGGCTTATGTATTTGTAGCATATACAAATTAAGAGTTCTTTTACATTTTTATAAGGATGAAATGGGCGTAGTCCCTTTCAAAAAGAGAGCAAAGAAAGAAGAATTAGACTTGCTGGCTTTAGAACTGAAGCAAGCTACTCATTTGAGAGTCTAATGGCTTGGTTATTGTGCTACATAACACATTTTTGTTTGGAGTTAACACTTTTAGGCTACGATGGTATCTTATGCTAATTCACAAATTGACTTGTATTCTGAGTTACAGAATGGGATGTGTGACAGCCATAATAGGTTTCCTGAGATGGGATATATTAACAGATTTCAACATGTTAGATGGTGACAGTATTTGTGCTGTAGATCTGCCTGGGACAATATAACATTAGATAGGTTTGCGAGTCCATACACTTCCATATGGAAGCAAGTTTTCTTCCTCCATTTTACCTTTTTTTCTCTCTAATTAACCACATACAATCACAGATTTTGTTTTTGTCAGAAATAAAAGCAAAGTTATTTAGAGTTACTTTGTATTTCAGGCTGAACAGATTTATGCTCAGTGATGCTAGTGTGCTGGTTACATCTTTCCTCAGCTTATCCTGAAGTTTGCATTTGTTGATTTGCCAGGAAATTATGCCATGTAGGCAATGTAATTACCTAATTGCACTGTGGCATGCTGCCTTTACATTGGTATAATAAGCTAAAATCTTTTTCTTTAATTCCAGGTATTATCCTGGATTCATCCTGAGAGCCAAGCAACAATAACACGATGCAGTCAACCATTGGTAGGCCCGAATGATAAGCATTGCAAAGAGGATGAAAAATACTTGCAGACAATAATGGATGCCAATGCTCAATCCCATAAACTTATCATCTTTGATGCCAGGCAGAATAGTGTTGCAGATACAAACAAGGTAGGTGGGTTTAATAATTAGCATTAATTAGTATCTTTGTCAGAACTCTGAAGAGTGCAGAAGAGACAAGGATAAAAATGTGAAAAGAGATAAGAAAAGGTAAATTAAAAAAGAGTGTGGGAAGAAATTTGAAATGGTCGCAGCATTTTAGAAAGGCTGGCAGGAGTTCAAGGCAATATGAAGGTTGACCTGAGAAATAATGCACGAATCTCCATAGAAAACTACCAAATTGTGGCTCAATGTGTCAGTAGCAGAAAGGGAAAACTAGGGGGATGTGTTATTAATTGCAGCCTATTAAAATTAGGATTTATTTCATTTACGAAAAGCTTACTGTTTCTTGGAAAAGCAAGTACTAGGAATGCTCTTTATTTATTCTAAAATAGTATTTTATCTCTAAAAATCCTAAAATCTGACGAAAAAACTTTTCTGAGTTTATACTGAAGTATAATATACATGTGTCTGTCTGTTTTTGCCTTTTGAATGGCAGGCAAAAGGTGGAGGATATGAAAGTGAAAGTGCCTACCCAAATGCAGAGCTGGTCTTCCTGGAAATACATAATATACATGTAATGAGAGAATCACTGCGTAAGCTTAAAGAAATAGTTTATCCTACTATTGATGAAACTCGATGGTTATCAAATGTGGACTCCACTCACTGGTTGGAATATATAAGAGTAAGAGACTTTTGATATGAAAAAAAAAATTAAAATATTTTTAACTTAAATTTCTGAAAATACTACTTAATTTGTGTCTAGATTTAACTGTGTCTTTAATCAACATGATCTTGTAAAAAAGCCTTATTTTAAAATGGCCACTTAGCATTTTAAATAAATTATATATCCATTTCAGCTTATTTCAGTTTATGTGTATTGAGTTAAGGAATGAGTTAATTCCTGATAGAACAGTATCATATTTAGTGTTGGACAACACTTTACTCTCCTGAGAGGGTACTGGTGAGCAGTCCAGGGTTATCCCTGCTTTTTGGAAAACTGCCCTGAGAACTTCAGATGATATTTGAACAACTGCCAAAGACCACGGTTTAAATTCAGCAAACTTTTCCATCCTTGCCTCCTTCAGAGCAATGTTAGGGTTCATGTATTGGATGCCTGCATTTTCATGGGCTGCTTAAAGCATGTGTGTTATAGGATTATAATCTGCTCTGGTATTTGACATAATCTTAAAGCAAATCATTATCATCTTCAGTTTTACGCTCTGTTTCATTAACCTCTGAAATGCTTTTATAAATAGATTATTTCAGTATCACATTCACTCCTCTGTTTATGATGAATATGGATGGAGGGAAATATGTTTTATTAAAAATTGGCTCAAATGTCACTCTTGCAAAACATGTTTTGGATTGCTCATTAGTTTTACTCGATTAGCTGGTGCTTGCTAACATTTGTAGAAGAACCAGTAGAGGGAGCAAACACTTAAATTAAGAATTAAGCAAATATGATGTTTTGGTAAGAATTTAACTTTCTTGTTTTCTTAAAGTTGGAATATTCTAAAATGACTTTGGCAATATTAATATCTAGAAACTGTTTGTTATCAGTCTGGCTTTAAATCTCTTTTTGAGCCTAAATCTCTTTGTAAGCCCCTTTGTAAGCTCTTTGGGCTCCAGAATTCACCTCTACAACTCATTTTTACATGCTAGGAAAGGGAAAGATGCAGGTATTTTAGAAGATACCATTTTCTCATGCTGGAATGCCAAGATAGGAACCTTTTCTGTGGTACTGTTCAAGCTGCTTTTCATGAATTTCTCAGTGCCATGACAGGCCATGTTATGGAGAGGGCTCTTTATGGAAAGAGATTATTCAAGCTAAAAAATCTAGAGAAGATCTTGAGGGAAGTAGACAGAAGATTTTTGTGGGGAGAAAAATAACAAGTTTACCCAAGTGGTCTCATTCCTTTGCCCTTCTACCCCTGTGCTCCCCAGAATGCTTCTGAACCCAGATTATTAACAAGATAAATACTGTATATGCCTCATACAGTAATAGGTCAGCACAGGTCCCAGCCAGCAGCCTTTGTTTTCATTTTTGTTTTGGGTTTGGATAGCTGAATGGTTTGTCCCTTCGAAGAACTGAAAGCTGAGAAAGAACTCTAGACTGTTTGCGATGAGAATGAATTTTGGAAACATTAAACTTATTCAGCTTTCTGAATAGGTTATAGTATTTGTTTTTATTTTCATAATGATGCAGACTTTCAGATATAAATTAGAGAAGGGGTTCCCAGCTTCTCTTTCTAGGTGCTGCTGTTAGTGAATGACAAGTGCGTAAGGACTGTCTGCTGGACACACATCATTTAGAAATTGGTTTTGGTTTCTCTAGTGCTGTGTGTCATGATTTGGAAATCTGTAATATAAAGCAGCGGTGTCAAGATGGTTACATATTTAATCTGAAAACTTGAAACATAGTAATTCAAGATTGTAAGATTTAAATTCTTTGTAGAGTTTTGGTATTCAATACAATTGTTTAATTTGTTTATTTAGATGCTTCTTGCTGGAGCAGTGAGAATTGCGGATAAAATTGAATCTGGTAAAACTTCTGTGGTGGTGCATTGCAGTGATGGCTGGGATCGAACTGCCCAGCTCACGGCTCTAGCTATGCTTATGCTGGACAGCTATTACAGAACCATCAAGGGATTTGAAATTCTTGTAGAGAAAGAATGGATAAGTTTTGGACACAGGTTTGCAATGGTAAGCTGAAAGAATGAATCCACTGTTTGTCACTTTCAAGGCTTTATATTTTGCATAACATATTTTCTCATTTGGATAAAATCGATGGAGTTGTTACTCTGAGGATACAGTGTTCGCTTAAACCATGGGTTACTGGGGAGATAGGATATAAATTACTATAATACTTTGTGGACTCTGACTGCAGGGTGGTTTAGATGAAATGACATGTTGTTAAGGCTGCTAGATGTGAAATAATCATTATGCTGGTACCATCTCAGTAAATAGCTTCCAGTTTTGCCTGTTGGCAGAAACAAACAGCTGTGCCCTGAAAGGTGGGGGACAGGGGACTAGGTAGCAATTCTGTCCGCTGTGTAATCTGTGGCAACTGAAGGACAGCAAAGGAGTCTTTGGATAGGAACTGTGTCTTCGAAGTGTTTGCAGCATCTGGGATGAAAAGCTGTATGTCTGTATAACGAAAACAGAAATTTCGGATACACACAAAGCAAAATATTTCCATTAGTAACAACAGAAATGCAGTAGATTAAGTTGCTAATTATTCTCAAAAAGATACTTAGACAAAGACACTACCATTTCCCCAAACAATGGTCTGTCAGAAATGATAGAAGTTTCCTTATGATACCCTCTCAAGAGTCCTTCCCATCAGCATTTTTCTCCACTTCTCTAATATGCCCAATTCACGTCATTTCCTTCCTGATGGATTAGAGGACATGCTAATGAAATAATGAATTATATAATCTATTCCAAAATATGATTATATTTGGAATTTTTGAATTAATGTGCATTTGAAGGCTCACATGAAAAACAAACAAAGTGGGTTGTTCAGACCAGTGAGGACTGCTTTGTTGCCTGAGTGCCTTTCTAGCCCTACCCAGCTGCAAAGGCAAATCCATAAATTAATACTGGGATGTATTTTTTTTGGTGGAAAAATACAGATTAGCATTATGGAAGACATGCTTCTCATACTCATCTTTGGGAGGACATTTAAGAGTTACTGAGCTTTGAAGTGGTGGGGTGGTACTGTAAATACACTAATATGAAAATATTGTTCTCATTTCAAGCGAGTAGGACATGGAGATGATGACCATGCTGATGCAGACAGATCTCCCATTTTCCTTCAGTTCATTGACTGCGTTTGGCAAATGACAAAGCAGGTAAGATTCCAAAGAGTATATTCCTGTGAGGTGTTGGTCATTATCTTGGAAATGTATTTCATGTAGGAGAACACATTTCTTCTCAGAGCAGCAGCATGTTTGGATGAAGCTGCTTGCACTATGATTGCACAGAGCATGTACTAAAGGGAAACGTTTTGCTAAACAGGAAGTACTAGGAGCTAGAATGGAAATATTAACTGGAGACTAAACACCAAGAACTTTTTTGGTTTGTTTTTAAAATAGGCTTTTAAGGAATTCTATCATTAAATAAGTGAGAATTATTCAGAAGTGATTTGCATTGTTTTTTTCACTGACGGTAAAAAGGTGTGTTTATGGGATTTATTTTGTGCTTCAGAGACAGCAAAAATCCAGGCTGATTGTGAACTAAGGGTCCTTCTTCATGTGTCTCAAATATGAAATCTTAGTTGATGTTGGCACTGTGTATGTGTACAGGAGGGTGTCTCTGGTATACCAAACTATTCTCAGACAGTTTTCTCATTTCCACTACTGCTTTTGCCTCTGGATCCGGGACGTCTTTCCAGTTGGTGCAGTATTTAAGTTTTCAAAATATTAAAATTCTCAAAATTCTCTAGATAGGCTTTGATCTTATTTTTCTTCTTGTTTGTACCTCCATGACCATGAACTTAATATTTTTACGTGCTTTTATAGTGCTGTTCTTTAATGGGGTTTTCCAAGTAACAAATTATGAATTTATTAATTCAGTAATTTAGTAATTTAGAAGTGCTCGAATATTATTTTTCCCTTTCTTTCCCTTGATACCTAATATAGATCTGTGATATTATGGTAAAACCTGTTATGCAGAAGTCTGTGTGGTTGATTTGAGGAAAGGAAGGTAAAGGTGTGAAATCTCATATGACGCTAGCACTGCCAGATCCTCAGTTGTCTTGTTCTGAACATGATGCTTGCAAACTTACTTGCGTTGTACATTCCAAAACTTACATTTAAAACAATCCACTTCTGTGTTTTATGAAAGTTCTCTGGTGATAATAGTGTAATAACTACTGTTCAGAGTCCCTTGAAAATTTTCTCCTTCTGTGTATCTTTGTTTCAGCATTAATAGGCTGTTGAATACGGCTAGAGAAAATGCTTGAAAAATGTTGTTCCTCTCAAAGGAATGTCAATAACAATAGCAAAAAGCAACAGTCCTAAGCACCTGGTTGGAACAAAAGTTCTCCGGGGAGGTCTTTAATTGAGAGCAATCCCTTCTCATTTTGTGATCTCCCTAGCTGCCTCCTATTTATTCCTATAAACAGTTGAGTTCCCTCCAGTTCTTTCTTTAAAAAAAAAAAAAAAAAGGAGGAGGGGGATTGGGGACTATGGAACATTTTGCCAATACCACATCTGTTCAAAACCTGGGTTCAGAAACTGTTCTGAAATTCATGACCAGCAATGGCATTGAAAAATCATTAATGTTACAGAAGGAAAAATTGAAACATCATTCTTGGAGAGTTCTTGCCTAGTTATTTTTCTTTTTTAGCTGACTTCAACACCTAGAGAATATATACTGAGACTGTGATTGCCTTGACATGGGCTTGAGAAGACAAGGATTCTATTCTATCTCTATGTAAAACAGTGCTCGTAAAAGGGTGCTTGTTTGAGGCTTTAGATTCAGTGGTAAACATATGTGAAAATGGGAGGAGGGCTAAAAGCAAGCAAAGTTTTCATGGTCTGAGAATTACATTCTTAAAACAGTCAACTTAATATAGTGAGAGAATTTTCAGTTTCCCACTAAGATACGATTTTCTGTATCACTTCAGACAATGAAACTTCATATTTGACAACCATGTATTTGCCTGAATTTTTTCCAGGCTTGATGACACACAAAATACAGCAATAGAGAACTTGAGAGGAGCATATTGGTAGCAGATTTTTAATAAAAATAGACAGTGTTTTCTGTTTTCTGTTTATAAATACTGATGATTTTGAATAGTAAGTAGCTCTGAAATTAGAAAGCTTACAAATGATCTAAAATATTTCAAGGAAATGAAATACTAATGCTCTGTTAAAAACAAAACAAACCTGTAAAATTTGCTTGTAGTATTGTAGTTCAAGCAATATTTTCCTGATATGAGTAGGGTATGTTTAAAACTGGTAGAACTTTTTATCCTGTTTTTTAACAGATAATGTCTTTTGCCAGAAATGCATTGCTTATCACTTTCAATAAAATGTTCAGTTAAAATCTCTAGTGTTCAGTGAAGTTAATCCAGTCTAGTTCCACAGTTACAAGATTTATATAGCAAGTGTTTCAACCTTAAATATTACTGTAATGCAGAATGAGTTTATTAATCATAAAATTCAAAGGCAATTTTATTTTGTGTGCCTCTAAATCATATGCAGCTTGGCATTGTCAAATAAACGAGAATTTTTCTGGTAAATACCTCCTATACCAAAAGAAAACTTAAGAGCAGTAGCATCAGGTGAGAGATTTTAATGACCCACGTGTTCTTTTGAAATTAGCGGATCTGATAGAAAGGAAATTTTCATTAGGGGAATTTTTCCACCTGAATCTTCAAACAGACACTAATGCGCTTGGAACTAGAGAAGGAGGAATTTTTAGGTCAGTGATTATTCAGCTGCGGTAATAAAAGCTTTACAGTCTCAATACATCAGCTCCAACAGTACAACTCTTGTATCCAAAGATGGTGTTTCAATAACATGCTCTCACTTATTAATAAATTGCTCAGAGTATAACCACCGATGTATGGAAGTTTTTGAATATGCTTCAGTGGACTGGAATAGCTACCATGTTGGTGTCCATCTGATTAGTACATACCCATCACGATGCAGAAGTTAATGTGACAAGGCTCATTAAGTGTTTTCAGTTAAAGAGAGTTCCTTTAGGAGAGCCTTTGTCTTCAAAGTTATTTCCAAATATCACGTTGGGCCTTTGCAAATTATTTTCTCAGTATCTGGTTGCCACATTGGGTTGGAAAGAGGAGACTGAGATCCGAGACCCACTGGATTTTCTGCCTTATTTTGGCAGCCCTGCATCTTAGATTTGGTTAATAGATTTATATTTTAGATCACAGCTGTGGTATTAACAAGAATGGATTTACTTCAGGAAGTGTTGTTAGTGATCACTTTTGAGTGTAACTGAAAAAGAGAATTTGATCTTAAGTTTCTACATGTTTTGTGAGAACAAGTAGCTGGATAAAGAAACGTAATTGGTGATTTGAGAGAGAAACCCCAGTGTGAACTCATCATACTGCTGGACACTGCGTAATCCACAGGAGAGTCGCAAGAAGGAAGGCTCATTCATTCTGTGAGCAGTGATACTGATGATTTCCATATTAAAAATTTTTAGTTGAAAGTTGCCATAAATATCTTCAGAAGCTTTGAAAGAATGTTTTTACAATGTTTAATTTCAATCAATCTTCTACTAGAAGAATATTCCTTAAGATGCAGATTCTTCTGGTTTTAATAAAAGTACAATGATTGTGCTGTTTTAACTCCTTACTTTCAACATAAATAAATATTTGCCCTTCCTAAATCATGGATCACATTGGAAAGGACTTTCTGGATCTGTTAGTTCATGCCAAGTCCAAATGGCTGGTTTATTCTTCCTAACAGTACATGTGGGGAGTCTTTTGGGGTTTTATTTTTTTTAGTTTAATATAGCTCTTGAGTCACTCATGTCCAGGGTGTCATGGATAACTGAACTGAGTCTACTGCTTTCTTCATACCTGAAGTATAGACTTGAGTTTTTTGCATATAGGAGGAAATAATTCATTATGAGTCTGTAACACCTATTTTTAGCCCTCTGCAAGGATTTACTTCAGTTAGGAACGAACAAAATTTATTTCATTTGTCTTGAAAATCATTCTCTTAAAACATTCATGTTCAAGGCAGTGAGAGAAACGTTACTTTTAAAATTTTATTTTAATCTTCTTAAATTGTTTTTTTTCTATTACATGGTTTTCATTTAATCTCTGTGCTTTAGACTGTTGTCATTCTGGGTACAGTTATTTTACAGTGTCAAGCCATTGTCATATGTAGACCTATTATTAAATGTGATCAAAGAAGATTCTTTTCCATGAATAGGTAGCAGCCCATGAGCTTTATTGTCTTCTTTCATGATTTTAAAGCACTAAATATTAAGATACCTATTGAAAGTTTTGTGTGTTCAAATTTTCTGCAGTTTTTCAAAAATGTTTCCAGTAACTTCTACTCATGAATGAAATACCTAATAGTAATTACCGATTGCTTGTTAGAATAGGAAACAAAGCTCTTAGTTGCTGTCTTTCCCCCTTTACCTTCTCCTCCCACCCAGTTGTTGTAACAAGACAAATAAAACATATGTTAAGGTCAGTGTTTTTGTTGAGTTAGAGCAGGATGATCTCAGGTTGTGTTTCTTAGAAGGAATTGTTTTGTGTAAGGCATGTAGCTTTCTGCAAAGTTTCACTTTCGGTTAATGATTTGGTGCATGTATTTTAGTATACTTACAAACCTTACATTCATTATGTATCTGAGGAGCATTATAAAAAAGCACATGGTTTAAAGGTATTAATGCAGTGGGAATTACTGCAATTGCTGAGTTTTCCAGAAAATAGTCACTATAGGGAAAAAAAAAGAATAACTTTACCATCTTTTTTATTTCAGTTTCCTGCAGCCTTTGAATTCAATGAATTATTTTTGATAACCATTCTGGATCACCTTTATAGTTGTCTCTTTGGGACTTTCTTATGCAACTGTGAAAAAGAGAGAGTGAAAGAGGTAAATAACTATTGTGATTCACATACTTAATTTGTTTGGTTTATTTGGAAGTGTTTAGAATAAGACTAAAGAACTTTAAATCTGAATATGAACTGAACCTGAATATGAAATTATCATGGCATGCTTCTTGGATACATTTGTGACATAGACTTAAACAACCTGAATATGAAATTATCATGGCATGAAAAATGTGTTCCAAATACCCCATTAAGAAATGAAGTACTACTCATTTTTCTTTAATTTTTTCTAAGTTTTACAAAATCCTATGTCAAATATTTCCAGCCAACATACAGGCTCTTAAGTGTGTGTTATCAAGTAGTGTTACTTTTGCTTTTTCTAGAGGGACTCCTGTGGATGACTTTGAAGGTCACTTTAGGACATAATTTGATGGAACTTGAATTTGAAGACTAAGGGGAAATTTAAAATGCATGAATGGATGAAGATAGCACTCTGAAATACTTTGCATTTGGAAAAGTTTTTTTTCTAAGTTACTTGCTAATACTCCAATTGCAATTTTACTTTTGGCTTTTTTTTACTGCTTCATATTTTTGTTAAAGCAAGTAACCGTTCTTTGGTATATCTAGCCTTGTTATTTTTGTGGTTTGTGTGCCTGCTTCTGTAGGTGAAAATTGCATGCATATGCCACAAGATGGAGCTGAGTAACGTATTCTCAGTAAATGCATGGTTTCCAGATAGCTTTTTTTTTTTTAATAAATGATTAGTCAGATGAAGTTCTTAAGGAAATGCAATTTAAGATACAGCGGTAGTAGAAAAACATGTGTTATGACACTGGAGGAGTATAAAATTGCAAAATGAACTTGATTTTAAATGCAGATTTTGAACTTTGATCCAGCCATGTTTATGGTGTTTAGATTTTACCTAATGTAAATTTCACAAGCGCAAATAAAGCTAAAATCAGCATTTTAAATTGATATTTGGATATATAGGACTGAGTAGTGGAGGTAGGAGAACAGAATAATTATTTTCCACGAATGATATTTTGGATCTTCCAACCTAAGTATTCTCTTATTCTCTCATATTTTGATTTTCTTTTTAAAGCTAATTTAATTGCAAATCTTTTTGATTTGGTCAGTCTGCAACTGTACATGCAGTGCTTAACCATACCTACAGTGGCTGCAGGCATAGAGCTATTACGAGTAGTACAGCCTTCTTTTGCTCAACAAGACCTTATCTGTGAAAATAATGTGCGTGAATCTCCTTTGTTAAGTTAAAAGTTTTGCTAAAGCTTTAAGACTATTTAATAACCAGTTACTGGAAGTGTTTTCAGAGGCCTGTAACAGGTAAGGTAAATCTTCATCGAGGAATTTACTGGTAATGTAATTATTGTCTCCCTGTTGTAAGAATTTGCAATTCTAATACTTAACTGTTTTCTTTTACTTAATCAGGAGGTAAACACGAAGACTGTATCGCTGTGGTCCTATATAAACAGTCAATTAGATGAATTCACAAACCCTTTCTACGTAAACTATGAAAACCACGTCCTATACCCTGTAGCTAGTCTGAACCATTTGGAGCTGTGGGTGAACTACTATGTCAGATGGAACCCCAGAATGCGGCCTCAGGTATGAGCGTTCTCTTGACTTGTGTTTTTGGGTAAAGTGCACAGATCGAATAAAATGGTATGATAAAACTTGGTAAAACGACGTTTTCGTTAAATTCAGCAGCGGAGAGGAGAGTTACAATATCACTTGATTTGTTTGTGAAAGGTGCAGATTAACAGTTGTTGTTATTAGAAGCATATAACCTAAGCAGAAGTAATTACCATGTTTCCTATATTGCCTTATATAGCTTTGTTAAGTTTTTGTCATTTGCTAGGAATGATCTAAAATATAGCAGCAATTTTTAAAGGCACTGTGCTACTTAGTAACTCAATTTATAGACACTCGTCATTTCTCATCTTACAGATACTTGTTTTCAACTGACCTTTTTGTTTTCAAGCTGGCATGCTAGACATTAAGCACTTCTTATACATATTTCTTGACTCACCAGTATTTGTTCTTTTAGGTAATGCCTGCTATTCAAATAAATCTCTAAATCTCATCATGCAAATATTTCTTAGGCTCTCCTGCTTATAAGTCGGAAGAAAGAATATTCAGTTTGTGTCACAACCATAATATATCTGAGGGTGCTGCACAGCCTCTTTATTAAGTTAACATTCCAAGGTATCCCCAAGCGTATTATGATAAATTACCTGTATTAAGTGACTGCTTGAAAGTGGCTTTCATCTTCTAGCAGTTAGAGAGAGACGTGAGTTTCAAATTTATTAGACACCCACAAGTCAGAGGCTGTTGTAAAAGATGGTGTTCCTAGGATGTGCTTCAAGGGCAGTACACCAGAAATATGTGTGTCTGAGAAAATCCCTTTTAAGGTACTGGGAGAGTCTGGATTTCTTGCTTTCTTGTAGTTTAATTGGCATGCATTAATGTCAGTTTATTAATTGTGCTTAATTGGGATCTATAGGCCCTGAAAGTGAGCAGGCTTAGTGTGTTCCCTAAACATACGTGAAAGCCAGACCCTGTCCAAAAGAGATTGAGGGATGGGGAGAAATGACATAGTGAGAAAATACCTTGGCTCTCATATTGTTGGTGGCAAGCTGTGCTCACTGCTTCTGTCTCCCTCTTTTGGCAAGTTCTCTGTATGTACTCTAATATGTGTGTGCCACTTATCTTCCTTGGTCTTTAAGAACAGATCCCTCCAAATAGCAAAGCCACGTAATTAATTTCCAGGCCTAAAATTGTTAGAAAAAAGTAGTGAAATCTTATGATCCTGATAATTGTCCTCACTCTACTTCTGTCTTTCTGAAGAGCTAATATAGGTTTGCCGTGTGAACATGCATTGTGCCTTTTCTCATTTCCTGCTGTTTCTGTCTTGAATTTTATGTCATGACAAGTATTTCGAAGCAGCACATTTACTTGGAAAAATTTGTTGAGAAAATTATAGTTGTTGATTGTATTCTTCAATCTAATTATAAAACCTCAGACTCGTGCAGATAAGTAAATAACAGTTTATGTCATTACAACTTACAAAGTTTATGTTCTTCTGTTTTTGCACTGCCAAGTTTCAGACGCTACTAACCCATTCAGTGGCATTCAGACCCTTCAGTAACAGCAAGAAAGGCCATCAGCAGCAGGCTTTAACTAACCTTCAGGTGAAAAGATTTCTTCAACTATTGGTGGAGATAGTTTAAAAAAGGTGGATGAGGAGGACCCATCTCTTTCTACCTATAAAAGGCAGCTTTGTTGAATAGCTTTTAATGTGCTGCTTTTGTTTTTCAACTGGAGTAACAGACAATGAAATATTTAGTGTTAGCAAACGGATCTCCGAGGACTAGTAATTCAACTTAACTTCATGCTGATAACTAGCAATTCAAGATAACTTCATGCTGTTTTATCGTCATTTCATGACACTGGGAGTAGAACCGAGGGTAAACAGGAGGAGTACGACCGAGAGTAAACAGAGGGAGTACGACTGATGTGTAACAGGGGGAGTAGGACTTAGGGTAAACACTGGGAGCAGGACTCGGGGTAAACAGGGAGTAGCACCAAGGGTAAACATGGGGAGTAGGACTGAGGGAAAGACGGGGACTAGGAACGAGGGTAAACATTGAGACTAGCACCTAGAGTAAACACTGGGAGTAGGACTGAGGGTAAATAGCAGGAGAAGGACCAAGGATAAAGATGGGAAGTAGGACTGAAGGTAAACAGGGGGAGTAGGAGCGAGGGTAAACATTGGCAGTATCCATTGTAACATCCATCGTATCTGGATCTGGGAGTGGATTGTGCTCCACGTGTTGGCGGTCTTTTGTTTCAGTTCAGCACCTGGAATACAGTCTGTAATTGTAATAACAGCGTAACTGAAGTTGCAAAGTTAATCATTTGAAGATAGGAAATTATGGAAATGAAATTGCTTATTGATATGGATGCTATGTATTATTAATTCCCAATAATATATTATTTTCTGTAGAGCTCATCTTAAGTGCTTTATAAGGTTGCTCTTTTGGGGGTAGATGGAGTCCTGGAGAATGCTGTTTTCCATAGACTCTAACCCTCATTTCCTGCCGGATTTGGAAGCAGCAGGTTGCAGGCGGTAAGACTGCCAGGAAAGCAAAGATGGTCCTGTGGGCAGGAGAGCAGGGTGCTGCTCCAGGCCTGCAGCCTTTCCCTGGGCCTTTGCCGCTCTGTGCGTGCTCCGTGTGCAGTGGGTGTCTGTCTGACACGGCAGCGGCTGAATCACAGAATTCTGAAGGTCTCTCTTGGAATAGTTTGAGATCCAAGGGGTGCAAAATTAGGAAGTGCTTGCTTCAGTTCCCTGTCTGCAAAAGTGGAGTCTTACTGCTTCTGTACCTCATTAGGATGATGCAAAAATAGATGTTCTTCTTGACGTAAAATGAAAGTATAGAATATCCATAAAGGAACTTTAGTTTGTAAAATAAATGTTACTTATTTTTCAACCTTAACTTTTGTATGACATGATTACGCAAGCCCTTCAGAAAAAGTCATTATTGTTGATTAGATCATTTATTTTCAGGTGGTTTTGTTATTTGAGACAGAAGCATTGGGAGAACAACACTTTCATCAAAATTTTGAACATGCAGTTTCCTGAATGTGGCTCTGGGGGAATGCAGGAGTGCAGCCCCTCTCCTCCTCCTCTAAGCTCCAAACAGAGCGTGCTGCATCCGCAGAACCTTTTATGCAGCAGTGAATTCCCCGAAAGCCAATTGCAGGATGCTGCTTTTCACGTGGGTGTGAGTAGCATGCGCTGAAACACACAGGGTAATATATCATTGAACGATGTCTAAGAGAAACCAGCCTGGTAGGCTGAATGATGATTAAGCTGTTCAGAAATCAGGTGTACAAATCGCCTGTGACCCAAGGCTTGCGTGACTAATGATACCAATAGCTAAATCATTCTCTTATAAACCTTAGTGTTCCAGGAAAATGTCTTCATAAAGCAGAACTCGGCAGCAGGGGTGTAGGAGGAGGGGAGTTTTACTTGTGGAAGGGCAGCAGGGAGAACAGTGCTAATCCCAGAAGAAAATCTGGGTCTTCACTGAAATTCGAATCCCCTCTGGCATATGTGACAGCATCTTGGAGAAGCTTCATCACTGAGCTCAGTTCGGATATGTTCATAGGTGTATGTATTTTCTGAGGGCTGCCCTCTGGAAAATGAGATTAACTTTCTGTAGGAGGTGTTTGGTTAGTGGAGAAGGCTGTCGTCTCACTTGCAAAAACTCTTGCATGGTGCTTCTGACCAAGCCTGCAGTAAGAGAAGGGATTCATTCCAGGGCAAAGGCAGGACTCCAGGGTCCTGCATCCTGTTGCACAGGGAGAATGGGCAGTGTTGTGGGCAGTGAGAGCTCTTCAAAGCCACAAAGTTAATGGGTGGGTTCCTGGAGGATTTGAGGACTCCCAGGGTCCTGGAGCTTTATGAATGGGCTGAAGTTTCTGTTCATGAGCTGAACCATAGAACTAGAAAGCAGTACTGGGTCAAAAAAGCTTCACCGATGCAAACTCATACTTTCAAGCTAAAATTCAAGTAAATTTAGAAACAAATGGGATTTTTTTCTGTTTCAAAAAACACAAGTGTTAGATTTTGAAAGTATCAAAATCTGATACATGGATTTTTAAACTTTTGTTAAAAAGTCTGAATTCACGAAAAGGTAAAATGTAACTTGGTTGTGCATTGGCGGCAAGAAAAAAAAAACACTCCTGTTGCTTAGTATCTTCTCCACATATCCCCATTTCAGAACTTCTTGCCTAGATGTTCCAGCCTGCCCTGTAATCACCTGCGAGCAGTAGGAA